TTGCAAAGTATTGAGGGACATTTTTAGTAGAGCGGTATTATATTTATGCAGTAGAAAACTAGCTTTGAATTTGAACCGATCAAAATATAACCAGAAGTTAGGTAGTAAAACATTCGAATATGTTGGAATATAATTTTACAGAGACAGATTCGTAGTAATGGACACGAAACTTTAATAGTTTTCTTTATTTGAAACTACGATGGTGTAGGTTCAAATAAAATGTTTTCTAGTAAAGTTTTGAAAACATTATTAATTGGTCCATATATAATGGCATTTTAGAGCTTTGGGCACGTTTTTAGCAGTTTTTTTGGGCTTATAGTAGGTATGATTACAGAATGGATGTATTTGGCATTCTGCGACCTTAGTGGATAAAAAATATTTATAGAATTTATTCAATATAAGTCCATGTTTCTTTATAACCCTTGCATGAAATTTTTCTCATATTCGAAGTGTTAAAAATTTTAAATTACTGCTGCATCGACTAACGATGCTGATGACCACCAAATAAATGAAACACGGACGATACGGGGTGTGTTGGCAGACTTTATTACTTATACACGGTTGACGAATACACTTTGCAGACTTTATACACGGGCTGACTACTTATTACGAACTGGCACTTATTTCAAACTGACAAACTCTATTCTCATTACATCTTCTTTTATACATTTGTGTCTTATTCTAGTAACTTCTAACTCTAGATTATTCTTAGTGACTACTTTCTAGTATTATCTTTAATTCAAATAACCATTTGTTGCTTATTGTAACTGGACAATGTAGGGTTCCCTAATTTAAATATATGTGTTGCCACTTATGCGATCAATCACAATATTCAACACCCCTCCTCAACACATATATTTCTTATAAGCTATATTTACATACATATACATTACACATTTCATTGACTTACAATGATACTTCTTAACTACATAGACACACTGTACTAACCCTACACACTATGCAGACACACTGCACTTATATACATACATATACATTATTTTCATTAATTCATTATAGGGCTTCTACAATATATTCATCAAATTTTATTCTTTTATGACCATTTCTATTGGTTACCTTTTTCCCCTCCCTAATGGGACCTTTATTACTTTTGCAACTATTTTTCCAATTAGCATGCAGGCACTCAACTGATCTCTTTGGCGGGCTGTATAAATACATGTTACCTATTTTTCTGGCGTACATCACTGGTTTGCCCTTCTCTATTATTTTTGCCCCTTTGTCATCGAACATCACGTCTGCCTTTTGCGCTACCCTGCCCACTGACAAAAAGTTACACTGCATCTCAGGTACATACAGCACATCGTTCAGCAAAACATTACACTCTTCTAACCGCACACTGCCTTTGCCCTTCGCAACAATTTTATGATCGCCAACCAAATTTATAACTTCATTATGATCATCAAATTTCTCGAACATTGCTTTATTGCAGCATAAATGCGTTGAAGCTCCGCTGTCGACACACCACACGCTGGAGTTCAATCCGTTCTTGTTGTTGTTCGCCGTTTCTAACACTGTGTATGATTGTGTGTGCGTTTTCTCGTTGTTGTTGATGTACCTACACTGTGCAGCGAAATGTCCTCTGCGACCGCAACTGTAGCACTTCACATTGTTTTTGTTGCTGTACCTTCGCTTACTTCTATGCTCGTTGTTGTTGCTGCACACGAATTTTCTACCCCTTTCTTTTTTGTTGCTACTTGCACTTTCGTTGTTGTTGCTGTATGACCGCTCACTTTCGTTGTTGTTGTTACACTCGAACATTCTGGACCTTTCTTTGTTGTTGTTGTGCGATCGCTCACTGCCACTATTTTTGTTGTTGCTACTCAGGAACTTTCTGGCCCTTTCTCTATAGTTGTTGTTGCTGTGCGACATAAACGCAATTTCGTCACTTTCTGCCTCATTGGTGGTTTTTCGGCGTTCACCTTCCTCTGCCAACTTGATCTTGAGGCTACTCAACGTGGGCAATTCATCCCGTGTTTCCAATGCCACCACAAAATTTTCAAACGATCTCGGCAAACTTGCCAACAGCATGATGACGAACAATTCCTCTTGCAGCTCAATGCCCGTTTCAGCCAACTTGTCGACTAACGACGTGAACTCACAAACGTGTCTCTGGATTTCGTCATCTTCACCCATACGCATGGCCAGTAATCTTTTGAATAGGGTGACTTTCCTTACTGGTCCTTTTGGTCTATGTACTTCTCTTAAAACATTCCAAGCTTCTGCCGACGTTTTACACTTTTTATATACGATATCTGCCTCGGGGTGACACACAAAATTATTGTAGCCAGTGCCTGCTCATCCTTCTTTTTCCAGATCTCATCCTCTTTTTGGGGGTTCTTATTTTCACCACTAACAATATCCCAGCACTCCTGGTGAATCAGTACAGCTTTCATGGAAAAACTCCAGGATTCATAGTTGGACTCATCCAACTTCTCAATGCTGTATATGGAAGAACTCATCTTCTCTACGCTGGTGTTTCCAAATGCGTTTCTTTTACTATGTTTGTTATTGACACACAATAACTTGCCTGCGCAAGCGTTGACACACAACACTGGGCTTCTCTTTACAGATTCCTTTGTCCTTTTGATCCTTCAGAGATCCTTAAGTTCTTCTGGGCAACTCGTTTTTCTCTCTCTCCTTTAGAGTCCTCCTGGGCAACACGTTATCCTTCAGAGATCGCCTGGGCCCATAACCTGTTAAAAATTAAAATTGCTGCTGCATCGACGGACGATGCTGATGACCACCAAATAAATGAAACACGGACGATACGGGGTGTGTTGGCAGACTTTATTACTTATACACGGTTGACGAATACACTTTGCAGACTTTATACACGGGCTGACTACTTATTACGAACTGGCACTTATTTCAAACTGACAAACTCTATTCTCATTACATCTTCTTTTATACATTTGTGTCTTATTCTAGTAACTTCTAACTCTAGATTATTCTTAGTGACTACTTTCTAGTATTATCTTTAATTCAAATAACCATTTGTTGCTTATTGTAACTGGACAATGTAGGGTTCCCTAATTTAAATATATGTGTTGCCACTTATGCGATCAATCACAATATTCAACACGAAGCTCCAACCCAATTGTCCACCTGAGTATTTGTAGTTCTGTATTTCGTTGTCTCCAGCCCTAATTAGTTGTCTCCAGCCCCTTAGTTATTTTGAATGTGCTTCTCATGGTGTAGGGTATAAAAGTACGGACACGCCAAAAATAACAGAGTTTTTGTTGTTAAGGCGGCCGCCGAGTTAAAGAGCGCGGAATTTGAAATCTGAGTTACTAACAACCACTGAATAACCTAAATTATTTTAAAGTCGTTTTCTAAAAGAGGTTTATATCCTCCTATAGATAAAATTCATGCTAAGCTCCCTGACAGCCTAATAACTAAGTTTGGCATCAACACGGAAGGATAACACAAAATAGGAATATCAGAAGATAACGCCACCAGAGGAAAATTGCAACACTAAAAAAGCAAGGGCACAAACCACTACACAGAATTCAAAGTGACGTTGTTTCTAGCTAACGATAGATGACAGTCCATCGCCCAGGGCAGCTGGAATAAAACATCGCCCAGGGCAGCTGGAATTAAAAAGTAAGAAGCCCTAGAACTTATCGTATGGAAGTCCTAGTTTCTCATTAGGGATAACAGGACCCTAAAAATATATATATTTCAATATACAAAATTCTTCTTTCATCTATTTTTGTCACAAGGACAAAAATTGATTTTCTATGATACTATAATTTATAAATTAAAATCCGACCCGCGATTTAGGAGAATTTAGCTAACTTAAAATATTTTAGATTTGATTTTATTATCGCCCTTTATGTGTTAGTCTGGAGATAGACACATGGTTCCTTTTGAGAATATGAATCACTTTCTGAGTCGATTTATGCATGTCCGTCTGTTGATGTTAATTGCATTTATGATCCGATTGGTATGAAATTTGGCGCAAGAATGGTATGTGTATAATTTTTTAATTGGTTTTATATAGATTTCAAGTGTTTTTCGCCCGATTCCATTTCAATGGCCTTCCAAAGATGATATATCACTTCTACCTACGGGATATTGTACACATTATCATCTGTTGTATGTACCCAAAGTTCGAAGGGTATCGGCAACGTCCGACTTTTGATCTTTCCTTATTGTTTTCAAGATTAATATGTTTTCATATCAGTTCATTCAAAATTTGCTTACAAACTTCTTCAACCTTCCAAAATAAATGATACACTGAAAGAAAAGTTCATCATCAAGGTAATGAAAAAAAATTATCAAAAAATCTTCATCAAATTGGTGTAGAAAAAACATTGTTTTTTATGAAATCGGTGCTCAATTTGATGTTTTATGTTTTCGGCTGAAAAACACCGTCATCAAGTAAATGAAGAAACTTTCATCAATTTGTGGTCATCATGTCATAATCATCATAATGAAATTAGTTATCAAATTGAAGAAAGCTATCATTAAATGTTTTTAGTTTTAATTTTTCCACCCCCTGATGTTTGTGCGTTTATTTCGAAAACACGCACACACAAAAACATTGCTTTTGTAGTATACTTATTCAGGCATGGGAGTTATTACCTTTAAACAACATAATCTTGAATAAGAATTGGTTTTAAGATTTTTAATTTATTACATGTCTTTTATATCATCCTTTAGTTTATTAATTTTTCTACCGTTTGCGGGGTTAAACTTCAATAACATTTTATTGCTGTATTAAAACTATTTTTGGTAGTTTTCAGATAAACGAAAGAAACTCTAGCATAAAATGCAAAGTCACATCTCTGGCATGCCAATTGAGAAAATCCCGTTATGTCTGCAGCGTGCGAAACAGTGCTTGAATAATAAGAAAAATTCATTTGTAAAGTGACATTTATTGTGATCAGACGTTGATAAAAGTGTTTGTAATATTTTTGTGCATTGGAGCTAATAGAAGTGTTGTAAGTTAAAATGGAGTGTTTTATATGTTCTAAAAATTTTAGTAATATAGAAAAATATTTGTGGCATTTGCAAACATTTCATGGTTTCCAAAATAGTGATACATTCAGGTGTACGATATGTAACAGCGCATTCACAACTAAAAGTTCCTTTAAAAGGCATCTTACAAAAGTTCACAGAGAAATATTTGTGGAAAAACATTGCGGCTCCACGAAAAAATTACCAAGTCAAAGTGATTTTAGGAATTTGGAAAAAAATATACTACACAAAAAATATGTACCTAAAGAGGTATGCATCGAGAGCCACTGTGAAGAGACTTCTGATTCTGGAACATTCGATGAAGTACCAGTAATAGAAAATCTTTTTGAAAATAATTTAAAGTTTCAGACTGGTTTGTATTCCATAAATAACTTAAGTCGAAAGGACGCTGAAAATATTCAGACTTCTCAATACAATCTTGTAATTTTACCACTTCTAGACGTTTTCAAAAAATTTGCTGGCAAATTAGATTTGGATTCAAAGCAGGAATTATTTAAAACTATTCGTTGTTGCAATGAAGTTTTGAATTCAATAAAATCTGAGTACTTATTAACTAAAGAACTTAAAAAAAGAGATTTGTGTGAAGATTTAAACATTTCTGTCATTGACAAAAGCGGCGAGCTCATTCACAAAAAAGGCAATTTAACTTTCGCTGAAAAAGAGACCACAATGGCAACGCTTTCCCTAAGACATTCTTTCAAAAAAATTCTTCAAAAAGATAACTTATTGTTAAAAATGATTGATCATATGGAATCTTTAAACAAATCTTCGCAATTTACCAACATCGTGCAAGGAGATATGTGGAAAAAGAAGGCCGCTATGTATCCCAACCAACTTGTAATTCCTTACTTTCTATATTCCGACGATATAGAATTAAACAATCCTTTGGGTGCACATTCCACAACTCATACCGTAACAAACTTTTACTTCTCTTTTCCTGTTTTACCAAATGAAGATACCAAATTGGACCATATATTTTTAGCGGCATCAATTAAAAGTAGTGACTTGCAAGTACATGGAATCGACAAGTGTTTGTTACCACTTGTTAACCAGTTAATAGATCTAGAAGTGGCAGGCATTGAAATCGATTTAAACAACGGTAAAGTGTATAATCCTCACTTTTTGCCTTGTTTAATTATTGGTGATAATTTAGGTCTTAACACCATATTAGGCTACAGAAAATCATTTAGTGGTACATTTTGCCGATTATGCAGAATTGACAAAAATATGAGTAACGTAACAACGTCCGCTATTCCAAGTCTTAAGAGGACATATGCAAATTATAGGCTTGACGTAAATACCGGGGATCCATCTAAGACTGGCATCGTAAGCGAATGTGTATTTAACAAAATTCCGTCTTTCCATGTTGTTGACAACTTGAGCGTAGATGCAATGCACGACGTTTTCGAAGGAATTTGTCATTATGATTTGTCTTTTGCCATACTTTATTTCACAAATACCAAGAAATATTTCTCTTTGAAAACCCTTAATGCTCGAAAACAAAAGTTCGATTACGGGGAACTTGAAATAGGAAATATTTCGCCCAAAATTACTATAACTCATCTCAAAAATCGCCATTTAAAAATGTCAGCAAAGGAAATGATGACGTTTTTATTATATTTTCCATTAATTGTTGGTGATATGATTCCAGACGATGATGAGGTGTGGATATTTATTTTAACACTTATACAAATTGTAGAAAAAATTCTCAAATTTTCGGTTACGGAGTTTTCTATAAGTTCTTTAGAAAATCTAATTGAAAAACATAATAAAGATTTCATTAGGCTTTTTAAAACTAATTTGAAACCAAAATATCATTTGTTAGTTCACTATCCGGAAATAATAAGAAAATGCGGACCTGTGCGGAAGTTCTGGAGTTTCCAATTTGAGTCTAAACACCGCAGTTTTAAGTTGTACACACATGCTATAACTTCACGAAAAAACATATGTTTTTCATTAGAGAAAAAATATCAGTTCACTTTTTCAAACTTTTTGCTAAACTCGTCTACAAGCAATAATCTTGTTGTTTTACAAAAAGATTTAACCGTGTGTGAATTAAATGATGATATATGTGCTCAACTTAAAATACCTAAAAGACAGTTATATTTTTATAATAAGGTTATATTACAAAACATTGTATACAAAAAGGATCTTTTCGTTGCTGAATGCGAAATTGACTATAATATTTATAGAATTATAAATGTATTTTGTTTGGATAACCATATTTATATATTTGGTGAACGATTTAAAGACGTTGTTTATTGTAGCCATTATAGAGCTTTTGAGATACACGTCAACAAAGTAGAGGGAGCCTTTGCGGTCAATATCAAAAATCTTATTGGACATCCAACAACAGCCATAAAAACCCATACAGGAAAATATATGATAAGAATAAAAGAGTTATATTAATATATATAAAAATGGCAGCTATTGAACATCAATTAGAAATTCTACTCAAAAAATGGAACTTACTACATTTACTTTCCAACTTAAAAGGTAATATATAATATAACTTAAAATTAAAGCTTATTTATTTAATGTATTTTCCAGATGAAAATATAACGATTGATGTCTTACAAATAATTAACAGAAAACATTTAGAGGAACTCACACGAAGATTTAAATTAGGAGACAAAATAGTTTTTGAGTTTAATATTAATAAATGGAGAGAAGAAATCGGAAAACCTATTGAAAACGAATATTACTCAGACGTGGCCAATATTTCGTCTATCTCACGGAAATCTAGCTGTTCTGCTATTACTTTATCTCAAGAACCTCTGAAAGAACGCTTTGACTCCAATACCTGTGTAAAACTGACGACAATTTTGAACCAAAATAAAATTGGCAAAAGAATTTTAGAGACCTATAAAAAATACGAACATATAAATGAAGATCAACGAAATTTAATAATTACAACAATAGCTAGTTATTTTCATGCAAATGAGTTGCACATGTCTTTACAAGAAAGCTATAATTTGGAAAAACAAATAATAGAAATGTTTCCCAATGAGAAACTCCATTCTTACCGCACCGACAGACGTGGAAAGCTATATGTAAAATACAACAATATGAAAAGAAATCACATTTATCAGAAAGATAGAGATGTCAATTCACCTAAGGCATCCAAACCTGCAGATTATATCGGTAAATTATTCGAAAAAAACGTTATGATTTATACAAATGTAGTAAATTTGGGTTTTTATTATAGTTTCTGAAGAAAACGCCAAAGAAATAATTCATAGTTTAAAATACGATAATGTCGACCAAGAACAATTTTTAAAAATGTGGCAGTCATGCGCAAATTACCGAATACGTCATATTTTTGATGAGCACGATAACCTTAAGGATATATTTAAAACCTGGCCACAGTATAAAGAGGGTCTTGGAGTAAAGTTGGTAAGTATCTTAATTTATATGTCCATCTTAATTTAATATTCTTTCTACATGTGTGTGTTGATATTCCGTTTAGATTAACATGGACTTCGGAGTGCTGCATAAAGACTACACACCAATATTCGAATGGGAAACTAAACTTATTACGGTGTATAATGTGATTAAGAAGGAAAAATACATTAAAGATGCTGGAATTAAATCAGTTTTCGATAGAATTGATCCATCAGACGCAGGTTTGTTACGAATCAATTTTCATTAGATGCATATCATTAAATAACTAATATTTTTATTTAATTTTGTAGCTTCAAACATGTCTTTATTTATGATGCGCTTGACTTGGTGTCTACACGGCTACTTATATCCAACATCAAAATACCTCCGTAAAGATAAAGATGGAAAGAAAACGTATGGGAAATACACCATAAAAGACTCCCAAGAATCGTCAATATTCCTCGCACGAAGTATCCAAGAAGTAGACAACCACTTAAATTTCTTAGAAAAGAGAAATGAGAATATTCAACCTTTTATTTTTGTTGTTGGAGATGACAATTTAGAAGATAATGACTACAATTTCTATGTTTATTTAGACCATGCATTGCTACATTTTGTAGATTTCCAGCGAGCACTAGATACTTGCTTCAAAAGCTTTTTCTTATTTAATTTAGAATTTCCCGGAGCATCCAATCAGTTCTGGATCTTTGTTCAAGAGTACTTCTATGACATGAAATCAGCTCACACAAAAAATTTTTCAAAAATACTAAATATTTTAAGCGATTTAAATTATACCGAGAACTGATTTATATATAAATTATCTACATTTAATATTTAATTTTGTATTTGAATATAATTCAAACGCTTATGTACATTTTTAAATTTTATCACATTTATTTATTAATTCATTATTCTAAGGAAATATTGAAATCTATATTCATTGTAAAACCCGTAATGAATTATTTTTTAAGTTTTTTAATAAAAAATATTTCCTAAATGCCTAAAATATTTGTATTTATATTGAATTTTGTAAAATTTAGAACGGCGTTTCTAAAGCGGAAAACAAAATTCAGTTCGATGTTAGGGCTTCATTGATTAAATGTAAATTATACATTAGTTTGATGCAGTTTATTCATTGAAGTTATGTAATTTTAATGAATAAATTACGTAAGTTTGATGAATACCTTTTATTGGAATGATGCAGAATATTCATTATATAGAGATAATAGAACATCAATTTGAGTATATTTTTTCATCGAAAGGAAGAAATAATACATCAATTAAATGAACTTTTTCTTCAATATGATGACATTATTTCATTAAATTGATAAATATTTTTGATGAAAATTTGATGTAAAATTCTTCATTATAATGATGAAACGCGTTGTAAGCTCAAAATCGAAGAAACATTTCATCAAAGTAATGCCCAAAATCATCATATTGATGAATTTTTTTCTTTCAGTGTATAAAACAGAAGGTTTTCAGCAGCGGCCATTCAGTCAAATAGCAACATTTGAACAATTCGGTCGGTCTGTCGCATGAACTAACCTAACGTTGAGCGCTCAAACGAACTCGGTTGGTGGAGCGGTAGCTTAAAAACAAAACTGAACTCAAAACTCTAATTCCGAAAACCAAACACCAAATAGAAAATAAAATCATAACACAAAAAATGTAAGAAAATAGCATCATAAAATATAATACCAAAAACCAAAAAAAAAGGAAAATAAAAAATAAAACTTCAGTACATAAACAATATGTGTTGTGTACGCGTACATATGTACGTGTTTATGATGTTGTTCAAAGCTAATGTTAATGGCCTGTTTATTTGATCATATCTGGACTGGATATTAAATGTCCGAAAAAGAAATTTCGATTTCATGGATTTGCATCCGGTTTAACACTTTCATGACTGTGACACAGAAAACAGAAAAAAAAACAAACCAACGAAACTACCAATGTCAATAATGCCGAAATTAAAAATTTGCCGGCTCAAACAAACTTTTTCTGGAATCCATATTTTGTAAGCTGTCAAAATGAAAGCCACCAATTAAAGTAAAAGCGCAACATTTTCGTTTTCAAGTTTGCAATTTGAGTGGGAAGTAGGCGACGTGTTTTGGGTGTGAGATGTTTGTTTCTGTGTGTGTGAATATGTGGCGTTAAATGCTTTACAAAATATGAAATTATCTTATCAATGATCATGAATTGATTAGTTAAGGATATTGAATGTGCATAGAGAAAATGCGGATAGTTTAAAATTATTTGAAATGATAAAGGAAGTGAAATGCGGATTTAATCGGATTGGATATTTTATTGCAGATATCAATAATATATAGTTATGTGTTATATTTAAAAATACATTAAAAAATATTAATATAAAAATGGATTTATTTAATATTTAATATTTGGACTGAACGGTTTAATGTGAGAATTGAATATTGAATATGAATATTGGACAAATTGGGATTACGCCTGACTATTTGAACAGAACGCTTTAATTTTTATGAAAAAATATAAATTTTAATTTAAATCATAATTTGGTTTCTATAAATTAAATGTCGATGAAAATATTTTGAATTATTTTGATTATCTGTGCTTTCGAAATAAACATTTTAACATGAAATTGGTATAAAATGGTTAACTATTTCAAATCAAAATACAAATATTGGAAAGATTCAACTGAAATGAATTCCTTTATAAATTAATTTCAGTGGAATCCTCCCAACGTTTGTATTTTGATTTAAAATATTTAAGTATTTTATGAAATGTGAAATATTTAAGTATTCAATGAATAACGTTAGGATATTTTGAACTGTTTGTGAGCACGGTTGGATTTATAACCTATAGAGATTTTGAATCCTATAGAATTTTTTTGTAATTCTATAGAGATTATATATATATATTAATATCTTTATGAACATACATTCACAGCAATAATTTTGGTGTTCATTTTTTTTCTAGATAGAAGTATTAAAATATAAAAATAATAAATTCCAACAAATATCAGGAATTACTTCAAGCAAAATGTAACCAAGTCGAAGATCAGAGGATTCCCAACGTTTTTGTTAAATATTAATGTTTTATAATATTTTTAAATTGCATCATGTTTTATAAATTAAGTTATAAATGTTTATAACTTAAGATGTCCTTTAAAATTTGAATGTTACTAACAAATCAGACAATTTTCATTTCTCATATTAATTATTTCCATAAAAAAGTATAATAATGCATTTGACAGTGTATAATTAAAATACTACAATTATTACAAACAAAATAAAAAACAAAAAAAAAATAATATATATATATATATATATATATATTTATATATATATCATGTATTAAGTTAAGTATATATTAAGTTTATACCATAAGTGGTGTAAAGTGCTCAACCAAATCCTGCACAATAAGTTCAAAACTTCGCAAAAAAACAAATATGTAATATAACGCGAATATTCCAATCCTCGTGGTACCTCGCCCACATAGTATCAACACTTTGTTAATTTGTAAATGTTATTGGAAGTTAATGGGATATGTGATTTGATCAATAAATTGAGCATCGTAATTTTTTACCAAATCTACATAAAATCCGAATTTGGGATCAATTTTGCTATTACATCCAAATGGTCATCATTTTGTAATAAAAAAAAATTTTATTACATAAAATGTGAATAATGAATCCTGCTTGGTCTAAATATTGACTATATAGAGGATGAACCTCCGGAATCAACAAATCAATTTCTTTATTTTTATTTAATATGCACCAACAACTTCTCAAAAATGTCTCATTAAAATTTTAAGTCAGTATCGATTTTTTGTGTCAGTATCAAGCCACGACAAGAGAGCTTCTCTAAATTTAAACGAGTTTTTCTCGAAACAGTGTTTCTAAGATTGGCGGGCACGATAACTCAAAGAGCTATTTATCCAATAGGTTCCAAATTTTAACACGATTTTCTGGACATACACAGCTATCGTATGAACTACGATTATTCAAATCGCTGAAGATCTTCTCTATTTTACAGCTTGGTTTTTGGTCGAAAATATACGATTTTCCATAAAATAATTTTCCTTGGTCCATCAATTTGCAAATTTTATTTACCATCCACCATGAGGTGGATATTCAAAATATATAAATATATATCGGAACTTTCATGTTGTGGCTATATCCTGTTTTTTGTACAATCTACCATAAGGTGGAGTGTATATTAAATTTGTCATTCCGTTTGCAACACCTTGAAATATTCACCGGAGAACCTCCAAAGTATATATATTATTGATCAGAATAAAATTCTATGCCGAGATAACGACAGAGATTTTTAAGATGGAGATCTGAAATTTAGCACAGACATTGCTTTATTCTAGGATGTTTGGTATTGCATATGGGATATATCGGTCCACGTTTTGGTGTAGTCCCATATAAGGCTACCTCCCAATCTGTTGATTTTAGAAAACCGGCCATTTTCCAACCGAATTGGTATTAATTTGGCATTTTGGCAAAGTATAACACAATAACAATCGTACAAAAATCTATTAATATTGACTCAAGTTTCAGGATAGCCCCCATATAACGGTACACGCCAATATTCGGTATTTTTGGGATTTTGGACATGTTTTTCCACCGAATTGGCTGTAAGTAGGTATATTGGGTTCTCATTGTATAGCACATTTCCGTACTACCAATTTTAAGCGTTCTTACTAAATCCACACCTCCGCACTAAAAATGATTAATATTGACTCAAGTCTGTATTTTGAGAATTTTGGACATGTTTTGCAACCCAATTGACTGTAATTGTTTTTTTTATTCTCATTGGCTATCAAATCTTATTACCAAAAACAGAAATATCGATCTCCGTTTTATTATAGCCCCTCTATAGGATATTTTGAGAATTTCTATAATTTTTTTTGCATACAGAATGTTCAATATCCTGTCATATTTTTTTCATAAAAAGTTCGGCCGGGTTCGGAAGATTTGACAATCAATGGGAACCTAAAATATACTATTAGAACCAAGATCCCTAAAATACCGTTCTGCTACATTGAGTAAATTGGAGTCAATATCAATAGTTTTTGGTGTGGAGAATTTGGTTGGGAACCGTACCTAATCTTCCAAAAATAGGGTCACTCTAAAAATTAGAACAATATTAATAAATTTTGTAGGGTGAAATGCTACCAAAATAAGAAAAACCGAAATACCATATTTCTCGTTTTGATTTCAACATGGAAGAGAATATTTTTCTGATGTTTTTATAAATTGTATAAGTACATACATAGCTTCAGCTTTTACATTGGTCATTATATGGTAGGTGCTTCCAATGTCGGCATGTACCAATAGTCGGTCGGCATCTGTTGTATATAACTTCAAATAACTACAACATCCTATAACAAAATATGAAAAATACCTTGGATTATTTTCAACAATATTGCAACATATCTCTCAGATATGTACAATGTTACATTACAGCCACTTCGAGTGAATTCAGAACATGGACCGATATAATTTAGTTTTCTTTTTTTAATAACTAACTCCCTCAGATTTACCCAATTCATTTTAATTAATTACCTATATTCAATATTCCGAGCTCAGACCTGACAGAGATTGAGCAATAAAATTGAATTCGTCCCACACACATTTTCAGGTCTTGGTTCATCGCCTGGTGAGCCATGATGACCCTCAATAGATCTCTCTTTTGCAAATTGAACGAATCAAAAAAAAAAAAAATTGAAAAATTGCTATTCCAAAACCAGGGCTATTAATCTAAAAAACAATAATTATTTATTGCTCATGACCAGCAATTAATGCCCTAATGACACAAGAATTAGTGGACCATTTCATTTTGACCATGACTTTTGTGGCCAATGTCAACTTTCCTTGCCAAAGAAAGCTAATGAAACAATTAATGCTTCAATAACAGCAAAACAAAGGAGAGACTTCTTCTTCAAAAAAGTATGTATACGGTTAAATACAATAGTTTCG